TGGTTAGCAACTGAAGGGAATATGGGATCAAAAGAGGTTTTCTTTTCTCTCCGTCTGAAAGATGGGAGATATTACAAGTATTTCTGCCTCTTGGAAAGGATCCAGCAGAGAAAGAAGAAATGGATGATGCAGAAAAAAGAGAATAATTTCAGTGGTAATTCATGGAGAAGAGGGGACCATGTCCCAGAAATAAATGGAAGGGTTGGTTTTGACGGGAGCAGGGACACTTCACTCATTATAAACAGAAGAGAGGACAGAGAGTATGAACGACGGCCTGAGGTGGGAAGATTTGGAGCTGGAAAAATGAGAGTAGGCCAGGGCATCCATGCTGGGTCACAGAGTCTGTGAGCACCTGAGCAGACCCATGAAGAGCACTCAGAGCTGAAGATTACACACGCTGGAAAGAGGCTAGCCACTTTTACTTTTATTGTAAGGGAGGTGAGGAAATGAGGGGCAATGCTTGGTCAAAATGTGGGAAGTGTCGAAGGATCTCTTGGAGAGGTGGTACATATTCTGGTAATAATTCCCTGGCACGGGGATTCCCAGGTCTGGAGCCCATCTCATGAAGCTGACCCTCACCGCATAGAATCGAATCCCTACAGTATAATTTCCATGTTGCCCAGAACTCTCATTAGGCCTCCCCTACCGGCGACGGTGAGGCTATGCAAGTGGGTCCTGTTCTGGGCCTAATGGAGCATCCTGTATTGTGGCCTGAGGAGCTTCTGGGGAATCCAGTCACTACTTTTCCCAGGTAAAAATCGCCGATCTTCAGGTGACACTCAACATGGGTGTGCCCTTGTAGCCAGAGAAGGCACACTAACCTGTGACAGAGGTTTAAATCGAAAGCCCCATTCATTTAGGTTCTCTGTGTATGTGTATGTGTGAAGCTCCAGATCATGTTCCTCAACAGGTGACAATTGAGGAGAGCCTTAATTCTTTCTAGTTTAATCACCCATCCTCTGGAGGCCATAAACAGATGTCTCTGTTTACATGAGAGTTAAATTCCTTCTAATGACACTGTGGGAGGTAGTGGGAGAGGAGGCTTTATACATCCCTCCGGCAAGACTGCAGAAGCATTTTCTTGTCTCTCCAGCAGAAAAGCAAATCGATATAGATTTTTATGGATTGCAATGATAAAGGATTGGCTGGATCAATACCCGCCTCCCATTTGAGGGATGGCAAAACTAAACTTGTCAGCTGGAGCTGTAATGATGCCCCCAACAACTGAAACCTCAGTAATCTACTGTGAACAGCCAGGCGCGAGCAAGGTCTTTAGATGGCCACAAGGGGGTGATAAAGGATTACACACGTGCCCTGATCACGCCCCTCCTCCTCCACCTCTTTAATTCCCTACTTTTTAATAGCACAATTCCCCGGGGGAAGTCTATGTTGTTTTATTTCAACAATCCTGGTCTACCAAGTAGGTCACCAGTGGTTCCAGTAGTCCAATCTGAATAGCGAGAGGGCTAACGTTTCCTGTATTTTAAAACATCTGTGGCAATAAAGTGCCTGATTATAGCGCACTCAGTTCATGACCATTGAGCAGGTGGGCCATTTTCCCCCACTTCAAAAAATTATACTATTCTCCAAATCCTTGATGTCTTCTCTGCAGAATTTGTCAAGGCTTACGTGGATTAAAGTACTTTCTGATTCCATCTCCACTGCCATACTGGATGCTGTCCCTTGCCCGAAGGACTCAGGAGGTTGGCCTGGGGTCCCAGTAAGAACGGGTAAAGGACACATGGAGACAAACCTGCAGGTCATAGCTACCCACCTTTTAGACCGGGCTGTAGGGTCAGAGGCCCTTCAAAATCCTCCAGGCTGGAACAGAGAGCTTCATTCAGCCTGAAGCCCAGTTTGGGGGCTGAGATCACTTAGATGCCCTGTGGAGGATTTTGACTTTGAACTTTAGTCCTCTTTTGTGCCTTGAATGAATGGTACCTAATTGCTTTTTGCATGAAAAATGTCTGGAAGTTGTTCTTTCTTTTGAGATGAAGGCGCCAACCATAATTCTAATCATGCCCTCAATTCGTTGGGAAAAGAGCTACAGACCCACGGCAGTACTATTACTCCACCTGCGAGGTCAGAATCAGATAGATGAGCTAATAGGTGAGCTACATGACCCGCATGGGCATCCTCACAGCCCAGGCTACGTTTTAAATGGCCATTTCAGTTCTCTGTATAGGTCAGAGACTCCCCACAGGCCACACACTGTTGAACCCAAAAATGCTTGGATTAGGGCTGTCCAAGGACAGTTTGAAATTCCCTCCTCTTCCTGGCATCAATTCTGCTCTGAACGATTTTCCAGGCGTGAAGTAATACAGCCATTCCTCTGATTGATCGCTTTTCTTTTTCCAAGTTTCCATTATCAGGATAAAACAGTTAAATGCCTGCATAGCCATGCGAAAGGAGCTGTCAACGCTGAGGGTCCTTTACATGGTTTTGCTCCTGCTTAATTCTAGCTGATTCACTCGGCCCCTTGATCCCAGACAAGCACCACGTGGCCTGGCTATCGCCTGTCAAGGAAGAGCAGCTGGTAGCAATCCACAGCAAATGAGGATTCCCTCAGTTTTAGTTACAGCAGGGCCACCCTTAACTCGTTTCCTTCCCACACGGAATTCTGGCTTAGTAAGGGGAATCCTCAAGAGGCCCAATGGAACAAGCTAATGAGGTTGTGAGCAATCTGATGAGGTTGATTTTTCGTGAGCTGTAACTACCCATTCTTTTAGCTGGAGCCCAGCCGGTGACAGGTGGCACACAGAAGTCTGTTTGCATTCTCTGTATTTTTGTTAACTGCCGTCTGAATGGGACTAGAACTGTTCCTTCCATATTAGAGCTGCTCTTTCTAGGATGGTTGAGAACAGCTACTATTATGTGAATTCCTAAGTATATAGAGCAGGCTGCTTCCCCCAGGCTATTCTGGGCCTCAGGGGGTCTGGGATTGGAGGCAGAGGAGGTCACTGCTAGAAGCACTTTACTCCAGGTCCTGCCTCAACCAAACGTTCATTTTACTAATAGCCAAGACCTCTGCCACGTCTAGGTGGTTAGGGACAATTTTACTTGTCCTCTATTCACTATTTTTCTTTCCACTTTGCATCCTGGGAGTATAGACCACTAAAGAAACTGCAGATCTAAATATTCCACATGGGAAGCACAAGGAGGGACACCCCTCAGGCTGGTTATTTTTGCTACGTTAAGACTTAATCTATTTTCCCTCCTCAGTTATACAGGGCTGCCTAGTCCTTTTTGCCTCTGAAACAGACAAGAGCAGTTAGCCTTGCTCCCCTGCTCTTAGGTACCTCCAAGGCTGCCAGTCAGTTTTTCCACATGACAATGATATTCTAAGTTCTTTGACGAAGTTTCAGCAAATTGTGGAAATCCATAGATCTTAATTACATCCTTTATTTCCATTGCATTGCAAACACTAGAAAGAAGGAAAAGGTACATGACCTGTTCTTGCTCTGAGGATAGGGACTGCCCTGCAGGTGAGAAGTCCAGTCAGGTGTCTGGGGCTCATGGGGTGGAGGGAGATCAAGAGAGGCACTCCTCAAAGAAATCATTTTGCACCAGAGGCTTTTCATTCATCCAGTGGGAGTGGCCTGACACACTGATTATGGAGAGCTTACCTACGGGTGCCAAGAAGAGGGGCCTTTCTTGTGAGGTTTCTCTCTTCCCTGTCTTTGTTCAGTTTTAAAGGTCAATTATCTCCTGGGCACTAGCTTGGATCCCCTATTTTAAAACATTACAATGAGGAGGCAACTCTTGAACACACATGTTAACTTAGGTTTCTGCTTTATCGTTTTCATAAACAGTTTCCATGGCACATCTCAACTAGAGGTGGAATCCTTACAAAACATTACAGGTATAAAAACAAGGATTTCTCAGGTTAGCTGGAAAATGCTCTTAAACTGCTTGTTCTTGATCAAATTTTGTTTTTCAGAAAGAGCTTCTCAAAGTTAGCACTATATGCTGGTATACTCACACTTAACAGTCGCAGTCTTTCTTGGGAGTAGCACAGGATAAGGAAATAACAAAGCCTATTTAGTGTCTTTAAGAGGTAAACTATGGTGGCCAATTTTGCTTTTCCAAAAGCAGTATTATTAAAATAGGGGCAAGCGTTCAGCTGGTACAGAACATGGTGGTGGCCTGAGTGAAACACTTCTCACATTATTCCACCACATTAAGCTGGATTATGCATTTATGGATGCATTTTTTTTTTTTGGTCTTGGTGAAATGGATTTAATAACATAGCTTGTATAATGGAGCAAATTATTACTATTCCATAAAAAGCAGAGGCTTGTAACTCAAAAAGAAGAGTTGCAGAAATCTTCTAAGAGCTGCCCCAACCCCCAAGCATTGTCACCTATGGTTCTCATTTCCTTTGGTGAAACCCATGTAGTGAAAGAACATGAATTTTCTGGCCTGGAAGCCCTGAGCTGGCACCCCAATTCAGTCACTTCCTGGCACTCTGGGTAAATTAATCTCTGCACCTCTGTCTTCCATCTGTATGACAGTGATCCCACCCATCAACACTTGCAGGACAGTGCCTGTGACTAAACTTATTTTCTGTCAGGAGCCTTCAGTATTATCTGGCATAATACTGGGACAGATTTATGTTGGCAGCCCAGGAACATCAATAAAAACATATAAAAGAATTCCATGTGTTAATACTTCTGAATTTAAATTGTACTTCATATTCTCTTTGAAAGTTTAACACTATTCTCATAAATAGTGTTATTGGCTCTGGCCGAGCTTATACTCCTGTTCCTAGTAAGTCAGTAAATGAAGAACACAAGTTATATAACAAATGCAACCCTCCATCTTTTGGTTTAACTGTACGTAAAAACTAATTAGAATACTTGCCAAGACCTGAACTGAAATCAAGAGTCAGATGCTTAAACAACTGAGCCACCTAGGGGCTCCTTATTTAAAAAACAACAAAAAAAACTTGCAGAATGAGAACTCCACCTATGAAAGACGAAATATGTGTATTTACTTGCTTAGATTTGGGAGCCTAATTGCTCACAAAGGATTCATAGATGTTTCTTTATTGTTAAGCTGCAACATACATGGTTTAATACAACAAAAAACATTTAATCAAGTGAAAAAAAATAAACTGAACAATAAACAAATAAACACTCAAAACAAAATATTTTCCATTGGAAACATGTTAAGATGAATACGGGGTTTCATTACCATCTTACTGCAATTTTCTTATGTGTTACTAACCTACATACCCCATGTTTTCTGTAATCATGCAGGTGTGAATGGGAGTTTGAATGATTAAATACATGAAAAGTCCGTTTACTGCAGAGAATCATTTCACAAGGCAGCCAAACTGGGTTTAGAGAACAAAATTATTCAAGAAATTCTCCACGTATTTAGGTTCATTTTAGAATCCATGAACCTTAAGCTGTTCCTCCTTGACAATGCCAACCTGCAAAACAAAATTTAACAGAATCACGGAGAAATTTATCTATTTCATCCCTAAGAAAACATGGAGCGCTGATTATAAAAAGAATCATTGTTAATAGTCTATTGCAACACTGTTACTTACAGTATTAACTGTTAACACTAAACAATTCCACACACACTTAAACACCTTGATATGCCCCCAAACTCAACTGACAATGTAGGTACAGGAATGATCAGGTCATTCGAATGATAACGTAAGTGAACAAAGGTTCTACTGCCTTCAAAATAAGTACCAACTTTGTACTTCTCTATCAATTTACCTCATTCACACGATTTTTCTTTTCTTTCTTTTAACTAGGAGGAAATAATTCATAATTCATGTTGCCCTTCAATACAATTTTGGAAGAAATCTCAAGGTTGTACATAAAGCACCCAAGCCACTCACCTCCAAGAGAAACTGGCAAATGTTTTTCCTTTGGTCACCTTGAAGCTGAATAACCTCTCCGTATTCAGGATGTTCAATCACAGTACCATTACAGGCGAATTTCTGGAGAAGTGTATGTTTAACATAACTGAGTCAGATACAATGAGGTTTTATTTTCACCATAAGACTACTATTGACTACTTCGGTAGACTTGATCATGTTTAACAAACAGGTTTTGTCTCCTGTAATCCCCAGCGCTCCCAAATTAATTTGCAAGTGAATCAGCAGGAAACATAAAGGAAATGATTTCACTTGGAACATCAAGAACTGAATATTTTCATTTTGTCTGAAAGCCATGAAAATATTATTTTAAACTGGGAGACAACACAAATATCTGGGTGTTAACAGAATGAACACGGCTTTCTTAGGTCCAACCATTTTCACCCATACTGATTAAAAGTCAGGGAAAGGTGTCCTATTCAGGAGTCACCAATAACTACAGTTTAACCTTTTCTTCCCAACACCTTTACCTTTTTGAAAGCTTTCACAAGTTTCTTTTTGTCATAATCATCTGCAATGCCCTGGACAGTAGTCAGTGTCTTTCTGCCGTTCCGTTGCTGGATTCTTATATGAATGTAATCCTCAGTCCCTGCCGGGAGTAAGTCGTCACCCTTAGTTGCATCAGCAAAGGGGTCTGCAAAGGGATACAAAAAAACATTCCAAACCAGAAAAACATCTTTTAGTCAGTCATTTCCAGATGTAGGACACACTACAATCTAGCAGCAAAGAAGGTTCTAGTGCCTCTGCTTTTTTTGCGGGTGGGGATGGGAGGGGGCGATGGGGGGAGGTATTAAGAAAACCACCAAGGCACTCTCACAAAAAGAGGAAAAATTTAAACAGCTACGTCCACGGACATGTGAATAGAAAACGTTGTTACTGGCAGATTGTTATCATTGAACGCAGTCCTCTAATGAGAAAAGAGCTTTCAAAAAACCGTAATTTTATAGCTACTATAAAAATGTGCGTCATCTCGATTACATTCTGATGACAACAAAACAGTCAAACGTGTCCACCCCAATCATTTAACCGTAACGGTGCCCTTCACAAGTAAACAAGAAAAAGAAACCCACATATACACAGACGCACATAGACATATCTGTCAAGAGGCGTAATTTTACAAATTACTACGCAAACAGAGAAGCTGGACCGCAGCCCTGTGACAGATCAGAGGGCCGGATCCGCTTCTTTAACCAAATGCCCGAGAGAGCTGCTCCGAGTCCCCTCCGACCGCCGATGGACGCCGATCCCCAGCCCCGGGCCTGGCAACCCCTAGCGAGTGGAAAGGCAGGTCGGGGAGCGGCGGGCCGGGCTGGCAGAGGCGGGAGCCGGGGCAGGGGGTTCCGCGAGGAGGGAGCGGGGGCCGCAGCCGTCCTCGGGGAGGGGGTCGCCAGGGGCCCAGTCGCCATTTTCTGGGCGCCGAGACAAAGCCCCACTCGGGGTGCGGGGAGGGCAGCAGGGGGCCCCTCGGGGCTGCGGGGCGGCCAGCGGCCCCGGCGAGGGCGGGTAGTGGCGGCCGGCCGGGAGGCGCGCGGGGGCAGTGGGCGATGGCGGCCTGATCTTACCGAAAGATTGGAGGTTCTGGATAGTGGACATGCGATACTAGTGTGAGGCCGGTGAGGGGATAAAATTCCTGCGGGGCCCGCCCGGATCACCGTGTCTGGCGGCTGCAGTGGCGAGAAAACGTAAATAAATAAAGAGACGCTTCGCCCCGGGACTGGGATTCGGCTAGAGCGGCGGCGGCGGCGGCGGAAGCCGGGAGGAGGCAGGAAGAAGCGAAGGAGGAGGCGGAGGAAGAGGCGGCGGCCACGGAGGCGAAGACGCGAGAGAAGAGGCGGCGCTGTGGCTTCTCCCACAAAATGGCCGATGGAGGCTATTTAGCCGCGCCCGCCGCCCCTCCCTCGTGACACACCCGCGCCGGGCATCCTGGGATTTGTAGTTTTCTGGAGGCGGCTGAGCCCGTCCAGCCTGGGATTGGCGGGTTTCCGGGACCGCAATTCCCGGCAGGGAGCACGACCTCCCGCTCCTGCAGAGGCGGGGGAAGAATTCAGGGGGCTGCGGGGCCGTCGGGGCAGAGCCCTCGGGTTTGGGGGGCCATGCACTACCGCGTGCCCAGGCGCTCTTCCTGACTCCTTTTCTCTTGCCATACAGCGGCGGCGCCAAGGGGTTGGTATGGAGGGGACCTTCTTTGTCAGTTACCGTCGAGGCTTGGAGTAACATAATTAAAACCGGGGTGCAGAAGAAAAACAAGCACCCTATCCCTGGCTTTCGACTCATTAGGCCGCTCAGCACCTCCTGCATCGCAATACCGGCCCCCCAATCTGACCCCGGCCCCTGGCCCCGGTTGGACAAGCAGCGTCAGTCCCCACGGAGGTTGGAGGTGAGAGAGCTCCTTGCACCATCCTCAACCCCCGCCCCCGGTTGGGCTGCCCTCCCATTCCCTAGCTGCGGTGGTTCTCAGACTCCCGCGTGCATCTCCCGGAGGGCTTGATAAAACACGCATTGATAGACCTCAGAGCTTCTGTTTTGGGTCTGCGGTGTGACCCAAGAATTGGCAAATATACCAAGCTGCCGGGAGATGCTGATGCTACTGGTCTGGGACCACACCGCAAAATCACCGCGCAGCTTCACCAGGAGCCCGACATCCCGCGAGGGCCAGTGAGTGTCATCCGAACATACCAAAAAACCAGCCTGTCAAGTTGGACACAGAACCTTGAAGAGGGTAGGTGCCAGCAATAGATTGAAGGTGAGCTCAGCAAACAGGTTAATTGATAGAGTCAGGTACCAGGGCTGCAACAGCTTATTGACAGAGCTACACACATAGAAAACAAACCTGAGACTTTGGGAATGGGCTCACCCAGGCAGGTGCTCAGTTATCAAACTTGGTTGGCTTTCTGGAAAGAAACAGAGAGACTAAATTTTAGGGATTCTTAAACTTTATTCGAGCCATGGCAGTTTTGTGAAACCTAGGGAGCCCTTCTCAGAATCATGCTTTAAGTGCATAAAATAAAACATGGAGTATTACAAAGCAAACTAGTTATACTGAAATTAAAAACAATATGTTGGCAACACAGTATTGTTTCTTTTCTAATGCATTGATTAACAAGATCTAGTAGTAGGTTTAACAAGTACTAGAATTTCAAAAAGGTGATGAAAGGTATTTTGAGAGGCTTGTGACATCAGAAATGTGATGTGAAAATACTTGTTCTGTAGTGCAAAGCGGCAGGTTCTTCTAATACTGTTTTTTGCCAGTATTCATAATGGGGAAATGCTAAATTTTGATTAGAGGTTAGTGAAAATATTGATGTAATCTATTCAGTTTTTGGGGTTCCCCCCAGTCTGCCATTTTATCTATGGACTAGAGGTCCGTAAACCCCAAATTAAGAATACCCGGATTTAATAACCTTTTGTGATTAAAAATGATGTTCTCACTGAGTGCTTAGTATTTGTCTGTTGGACTTATACACAATATATTCTTGATCTTCATAGCCATTCTGTGATATAACTGTATTGAAAATATGTGGAAATGGCGGCTCTCATAGGTTAAATAAATTGCCTTAAAAGATACAGTTCATGGGTGTCTGGGTGACTCAGTTGGTTCAGATCATGACCTCAGGGCCCTGGGATGGAGTCTCTCATTGGGCTCCCTGCTCATTGCCGGGGGGCGGGGTGGGGTGGTGGTGTCAGCTTCTCCTTCTGCCTACCCCTTTCCCCAGCTGGAGTGCATGTTCGTTCTCTCTCTCTCTCTCTCTCTCTCTCAAAAATAAATAAAATCTTTAAAAAAAAATCCAATTCATAACTCTCAGGAATCTTACTACATTTTTAGTCTTCTAATTTTGATGTAAATGAATAATACTCTTTTTTTTCTCCAAACTTAGGTTTAAGTGTTAGAGCTGGTCCCCAAGCAAGGAGAATTAAGCATTTTTTGTTGTTTGTTGTTCATTTGTTGATCACAGTTAGAAAGGTTTCTGTTCTTTGGTCTTACAGCTCTATACACATGCTTTGAAGTAATTTTTAATACTACTGTAGATGAAATATAGGATAAACAAAATGCATGTCTGTTTCTTACTAGATGTCCATAACCATTTTATATACTACATTTTTTTTTTCAGTAGACAGGGGTGGCCCAGTCAAGAATCAGATAACAAAGTTACATATAGAAGTTAAAAAAAAATCCAGTATCTTAGGGATTTCATGATCATTACCCCTGGGAGGAGAATTCCTTTTTACTTGCTAGTATTGAATCAGAAACCCCTAGAACCACGGAAATCTTCAATAAAAGCCAACTATATAGGTTAGGTACAATTGTGATTGTTATCTTAAAAATTTTTTGGACTCTTTGTTCATTGGTAGCTTTGTTTTTAGACTGACACTGTCCAATACAGGAACCACTTGACACATCTGGCCAGTGAGCATTTGCCGTGGGCCTGATGCAACTCCGATACAGGTTCTACCTATGAAGTACACACTGGCCTTTCAAAGATTTAAATTGTTTCAATTTTACCTGTTTCTTTTTACTTTTTAAAATGTGGCCACTAGAAAATTTAAAATTACCTGTGGACGGCTCACTATTTCTATTAGGGCTGGTTGAGAGCGAAAGGATTGACCTTTATGCAAAGTTATCATAAAAGGAATAAACTGAAGCATTTAAAATCTGGTCTTTTTAGTTCTCGTAGTTACTAGCCTAGTCGAAGGTGATTATTTCCTGCCTTATTTCAGAAAGGAGTATGGATCCCTTGCAGAGAAGAGTAGTGTTGAAAATCAGGAAAGAGTAGAAAAAAGGTAGAAGAGCTGAAAAATGAAAGCCCCAAAGCTAGAGTTAAAACCCAGGTCTGGGTCTTAATTTCCTAACGGTTAAGACAAAAAGAAAATCAGCGACAAAAATACACATAGCTACAGGATGAAAACATACCAGTTGCGCAGGAGGAATGACCTTGCCGGGCCCTGAGCCACAGGAGCTGTTTTTCTTGGGCCCTCATAAAGGGGACACTGTGATGTAGTGGACAGCATCCACACCAGTTTGCCTACTGCAAAAACAATGGTGGGTTTTATGCCGCTGTTTTTTATATCTGCTAGTTATGAAAATGTGCTCTCTAGTTAGAAACTTGGGTCCTCATCCATCCTTCTGTGGTGTGCTGGTGAGAACGCGCCACTCAGATGTCCTGCTTCAGTGAGCATAATTGATCAACAGCCCCAGCCACTGCGCTGTGAATTCAACCTGGAGTCCCGCTGAGGCCACACTTCCTACCAGCTGCTCCCAGCCAGTGACTGCATGTGACAAGGATCCAGTGCAGGCCTCTTCTCCAGAAGAGGGACTCAACCGTTGGCAACTTTCATCATGGACTCTCCGTGGGCCTGGCTGAACGTTCCTAGCCTTGGGTTGAGATCGAAGACTCTTATTCACCCCTTCTTCCCTCTCTCCTTTGTAGGGTCACCTCGTCTGACTCCTTCCTCTTTCCCCCGCAGGTGTTCCACCAATAAATCTCCTGCACGTCCAGACCCGTCTCAGTGTCTGCCTCTCAAAGGACCCAAACTGATGCACGCAACCCCGTGCTGGGTGGGACACGAGGTTCTGCCTCTGCTGTATACGTTGCATTCAAACTCTGAGGCAAGAGGAAAGAGTATGAGTTTCAGTCCATCCTCAGCTTTCCAGCTTATGCATGCAGGGTTCTAGCTTGCTTGGATCTCCTCTTCTTTCCCTTGCCTTCCCAGTGGACTCTGCATCAGATACAGATGTACAGTCTTATAGAAGCCGCCTAACGATCCCTCACAGTACATAAACCAATCCCCTGTAACAAATTCTTTCCATATATTTGCGCGTGTTCCAAAATAGCAAGGGATGTATACGCACTATCCTGTGTGGGTGTTGCATGCAGTTGCCCTAACCTTCTGGGTGGTTTCTTCCTAGGCTTCACGTGGTTACCTTACATTCCTGGGCTGATCAGGATTGTGCTAAATCCTGGAGGAGAGCCAAAGAGCTCTTTGGAGTTTCCCCTCTCTCTGAAGCTCTTTCCAGTACTCTGTGAACTCTAACTGTCTTGGGCTCTTGACTTTTACTGCTAAACGTAGGGAGCCGGCTGGGCTTTGCCTGTGTTTTCCTTGAAACTCTTTCAAGGCAGTGAGCTAGGGCAATCGCAGGGCTCACCGCATTCCTTTTCTATCTTTTAGGGATTGCTGTCCTTTGATTCAGAGTTTCTTGAAACACTGTTGTTTATATTGTGTCCTGTGTTTTGGTTATTTCAGTTGGAGAGTAAATTCAGTAGATTCATTTTGGTTGACAGCAAAAGTCCAGTAAGTGTATTTTTGAATGAATGAATGAGCTTCTCCTTGGCATCCATCCTGAGATTAAACCCTTTGCTCTCAATATGTCTGACACTTGAACAGTGCAGTGACCTGGCCATATGGATATGATACAGTGGTGTAAGTGTACGTGTGTGCACATTTTTTTATCCACCAAAGGTGTATTTCTTATAGTATTAAAAACCTGTGCTTCAGGACTTTTAGAAATGTGTATTTCTATTTCTTTTTTGTAAGATTTTATTTGAGAGAGCATGCACGCGTGAGAGAGCAAGAACGAGGGAGAGAGAGAGAGCGAGAAAGAACGAGTGAGTTCAGGCAGGGGGGAGGGGCAGAGAGAGAGGGAGCAGCAGGCACCCCACTGAGCAGGGAACCCCAATGCAGGAACTCAATCCCAGAACCCTGAGATCATGACCCGATCTGAAGGCAGACACTTAAACAACTGAGCCCCCCCCCACCTGGCACCCCAGGCTTTTAGGAATGTGTATTTCTAAATATTATTTATTCCTTACTATTTTAGAGCAGGGAAACTTTTCTCCTACATTCTTACTCTTTTATGGAGGTTAAGCATACAGTTTGGGTCATACTATGTTTATTAGTATTTTTACAGGAAAAGAATAGGCAAATCTGGCCAATTGAAAACATGGACCAGTGAACAGAACATGGACTGGTGAAGTACGGTTTCAGTGGTTGCTGACAAATGACCTAAAATCATTCAGGAGTAAAAAAGTCACTAAGTCTGGCTTAAAGTGTACGCCAAAGCTAATTTTTCATAATGCCGGGATTTTTGTTGATAACAAATTAGGTATAAAACCACACTGCTCTAATTGATTGGAAATAAAAAAGCAATTAGATTTTCCCTTCATCATAACCGAGGAAATATTTCTCAGTTCCTTAACCTCATCCAGCTTCTGAGAGAGTCCTGAATCCCCGCCCCCTCCCCCAAGAGTACAAGTGAGTCTGTTGACCAGGTGATAGCATCAATCAGTCAGCCTTTATTGAGAGCTTCATGCCCTGCCAGGTGCTGTGAAAAGAGACCTATGTTTGAATCAATTAGGCGGTAATTTGGTATGTGCTGGAGGTCAAAGTTTGCAAATATAAGCCCCCTGCTTGTTTTTTAAGAAAGTGAATTCATGTCATATTTTGTATAAAATTTATTTTCTTCAGGAAAATATATGAATTTCTAGCTTCTTTACAAAATTCAGAGCTATTGCTCTACCTTAGCTGAGGCACAGTTCTTGAATTTATTACATACCTTTTATTTCTTATAGTCCCTTTATCATGGAGGCTGAGTGCACATTGTCTTTGCCATTATCAGTTGTCCAGAACACTGCCTGACTCACTAAATGCTGGCGGCCTTGGCTGGCAGCCTCTTGCTAGAGACTTAGAGAAGGCATGATGGAGACTTTTATGCATTTTCTTCAGCTCGAGCTTCCTGAGAGTCAAGGGGTAGTGGGAAAGAAGTGGGGTGGATTTTAAGATGTAGGACTGATTTTGAAAGAGTGTCTGTAGTCGCATATCAAAACTAGATATTGAGAGGGAAGTATTGATCAGAAGAGTATTTCAGTAAAGAAATCTGTAGGTCAGTAGGAAGAAAATCAGTTACTTCAGTTACAAACAGATACATGGAAGGAGGGAGAGGAAGGAATGGAGGGAAGGAGGCAGGACAGGGAGGAAAAGGCAGGCAGGATGCTCTGTGGAAAGAATTGCGTCCATATGACAACCAAAGTGAGGAAAGCCAAGGCACAGCAGCACGGACCCAAGTGGAGTTTAGGACTTGGTCAAACAGAGGCCCACCCATTGTTTTAAAAAAGGTAAATTAGCTGTCATATTTCATATGAAAATTCAGACTTCTGTCTGCACTTGAAAAAATCTACATTGACAGCTTATTGTAAAAAAACAAACAAACAAAAAACAATCCGTCAAGGCTAATCTGTAGATATTTGACTTCTGATTGCCCAGGCAGTGGGACAATGTGAATGGAACTGTGTGAATAGAATTATGATGGAAAAAACCCAAAAAGCAAACAAACAAAAAAAAAACCAGTGAGTTAAGAAAATATTTTTTTTAAAAAGGAAAGAAAAAGAGGTGGAGCCAAACATGACAGGCCTGGACTGTTCCATCTTCGGGAACATTTTTGGGAAGAGTTAGTGCCAAGTGAAAGGGCAGAGTCATGAAGGAAGGAATTTGTGTCTTGTATTAAAAAGTGAAATTGAACTGTTTGGCTGGAGAGAGCATCTGCTGGTAGAGAATTTTTGGCTCTTCTTCTGAGTTGGGTTAGCCCAGTGTACATAATACATCAGCAGTTGCCATTCTGTGTGTTGCTATTCTGTGCACTGGGATTTGTGGCAGAGATTGCGGGTTGCTACATGATATCCATCCTCCCCTTCTTTCATAGTAAAAAAGATCTCCAGTTTTATTCTGGGCTGCAGTGTGCCCCGCATTTCAGTCTTCCCTGCTGGATGTGGCCAATGCAACGTAGGCAGAAATGTTGAGGGAGCTTTCCCAAAAAATCACTTAAAGGAAGCAGACTCGGTTCAGAAAAGTGTCCATTTGCTCTCCTTTCTGCTTCCTGCCTGCTGCCTAGAAAGGAGACAGGGTGCTGGAAGTGCAGCAGCCATCTTGGGCGGTGAGGTGACCTTGCCATGTGGATGGGCTGCAGCTGGTAGCTCAGAATGATAGAGGGAGCCCGGGGCCGTGTACTGCCTGTCTCTGCCCTTATTCTGTGGCAGAAGAAACCCCATGTGCTTAAGCCTCTGGTGTTTGGGGTTTTCAGTTAAATGAAGTGGAACCCAGACAAAGAGTGCTTGTGAATGAAAACCCCAGGACTCAAGGAGGCTGGGCACGCACTTTCCTCGTGACCCCTGTTGGTGCTGTCTGTGGCCTGGATCATGCCTTCTGTGCTGTGGTCCAGGAGAGTTGGGCCGGCTACAATGTGGGTTGTGGGAGGACATGCCAGAAACAAACTGACGATACCTTGTGTCTCTCACTTCAGAGGCCACATGGCAGGGCAGATGTCCATCAGTTGCCTTGGGCTCGTCACGACTTTGCAATAAACACCAGTGACAGATGGTGGCCTATGGGAGTTTTATTTACATATATTTTTTAAGGTTTTTATTTATTTGATGGAGAATAGGGAGAGAGCACAAGTAGGCAGAGCGGCATACAGAGGGAGAGGGAGAAGCAGGCTCTCCATTGAGCAGGGAGCCCGATGCAGGGCTTGATCCCAGGACCCAAGAATCAGGACCCGAGCCAAAGGCTGCTGCTTAACCAGCTGAGCCACCCAGGTGCCATCCCCACCCTCCATGCCACCCCGCCCCCACCCATGGGAGTTTTAAAGGGAAGAGTTGATCACATTTTGCCTTGTTTATTGTCTGCCTTGGAAACAGCATGTCTGGACTCTCACCCTGAAACTGGAAGCAGACTTCCTAAAGTTCAAATTTAAAAAGTCTGAAATCCCATGAACATTCTTTGGCTCTTTATGATGTAGTTATATATGTTGGGGGGTTGACTTCCAGCTGATGTCCATAACTGCAAGCATACATGTTAAATTCTTAAACTAATTTCATGCTGGTTGGCAAATAGGTACTGCCCTGCCTCCCCAGCCCATGCTTCTCCCTTTGGACCTCTTAGACTACTGCCTAAACAAGCAGCTGAAAGGCTGACGCCTGGCAGCAAGGACTTCCTGAATCTGGTCACGATCCACTTTTAAAATTAGGCATCTGAGCTCCCAGTGTTCATTTTCCCAGCAATGTATTCATTGCTGCCCAATTTTTGTCAGTAGTTTGATGGAAACGTGGTGGAGGGTGATGTTCTAGATTTTCCAGAGTCCAGCCCTGGATCAAATCAGGTCAGCAGATGAACTGAGATTGTGTGTTTCATTTCAGTTTGTTCCTGCCACTGCTGCCCTCTGGAGAACTGGTCTTGCTGAGTTGTTGTCGGGGTGATGTCATCCGCCTGTGCTGAGAGATAGGGGAGGAAACGGCCCAAATGACACTCACTGTCGTCTGTCTTACAGAATGTTGTCAAGCTGTGCTGTTTTGTATCCCAGTGTCTATTTATAAGACTCCTCAGAGACTTGCCTAACTGGTCTTAGAAGCAAAAACAGTTGTATTACTCCTGGAAAGCTGTTCTTTTTCCTCCGAGAAGCTCATCTCCAAGTGTCCAGTATTCTCTCCTCCCTGTCATTCCGGAATGAAGCAAAGAAACAAAGGAAGGAGGAAAGGGAGAAAATACTTTGAGCTATGAAAAATCAAAGCAGATAGATGATCAAAGGAATCCAAATACACAGGCATTTTGTGTTTTTTCCTCAGCGGAATTTTAACATTAACTTATCACAGATTCGTACCAAGTAATAATTATGTACTCGCTTTTCAAAGCTCTGGAGTACAAACAGTAAGTGCCTGAAGAGGGTATTCTCTGTATGTGCCTTGTCTACAGACTCCTAAGTTCTTCTTCCCACCATGTTTTTAGAAATAACCAGCACAGTTAGGACTTTGTAGAATGACATTCGGACACTATGCTTTCATTTGAAGCCAGGCACAATAAAAATGTCTTTGAGACTTTGTCCCGATTTGCCTTCTGTCAAACATGGAAAGTCTGTTGTTCATAAGTTCCATAAACATGTAATGCAGGCATACCCAAGCACTGTGTCTTCTGAGATTATGGTTTCTTTTTTTCCTTTTGTTAATAAACTGAGTCAAGTCTTATCCCACGTAACTGCGGGGCATCTGGTACCCTACTTAACAATTTCCAAGGATTCTGCAGAGGTCTGCTTCCTTCTGATACTCTCCCACTTTCAATTCTTACTCTGGTTGAATTCTTTGCCCCAAAGAATTCTTTGCTCCTCCTCCCTTACTTCCCTAACTACTGCTAACACAGGGTTATAATGTGTAGCACTTTTATGGGAAAATTAGAGAGAACCCAAGGGGCACACAGGTTGGGGATCAACTTCCAAGTTCAGGGTTAGGTACGGTCACCTCCTCCTGAGACCCCTCCCATCACTCTTCCTCTCTCTGTGTTCTGGGCAAGGAAACCACTTGCCAGGGGACAATGAACCTTTTTTGGTACCTTATCCTGCAGAGTGATTTAACTGCCTCCCTTAAAACCTCACCGATTTCAGCAGAGAGGACTTCCTGTGCTGGAGTCTCTCATTACATAGTGGCAAGAAGAGCAAAGAGCGGCAATGTTGTGTATTGCATTTTGCATTAAGTTCTGGAAAAGCAAATTCTTTGGCAGCATTCTCTCTTCACCCAGCAGGACCTGTGGGTTCTGGGGACCTTATGGTTTGTGGGGAGAAATCTGGAACCTGTAGTATATTAGACACTCTTTCCCGGTATTTTTTTGGCTAATCAAAAAAGTTTGGTAAAGATTGGCTGCAGTGATAGACATACTGTGCTTTATATTTTGCTAAAATATATAATTTGATAATCTTTCAATATTGGGCTAAGACCTTTTTCTGATTATTGGCTTACTGATTGGAGTTCCTTGGTATCACAAATTCTACCTATAATATATTGGTTAGAGTGTCCTGTTTTTGTGTATTTACTTAGTAAAATCTATTATTTATTTATTTTAGAGAGAGAGATAGCCTTGGGGGAGAGGGGCAGAGGGAGAAGGAGAAAGTCTTCAGCAGACTCCCCACTGGTCAGGAAACCCGAGGCAAGTCTTGACCTCATGAAAACCAGGAGTCAGACACTTAGCTGATTACACCACCGAGACACCTCTGTTTTTGTGTATTTAAAGTAAGAACTTAAGGGGCATCTGGGTGGCTCAGTCGGTTAAGCATCTGCCTTAGGCTCAGGTCATGATCCCAGGGTCCTGCGATCAAGTCCCACATCAAGCCCCCAACAGGCATCCTGCTCAGCAGGGAGTTTGCTTCTACTTTGTTGGCCTTATTTGCACTTTACTTGGCCAAAATTCTCATTAGCAATTCACTTTTATTTAATTTTTCCAAAGTTGTCAATGTATTTCTCCTAGAAATGACAACTGTCTTTCTTTTTCTATTCATGGAATCCATTTCATTTTATTGGAATTAAATAATTACATTAACATGTCAAATTGCAAACATAATTGTGGGAACAAACTTAACTGACTCTTGGTAAGCCTTTGTTTCACATAGTGGAGGCTAGACGTGTCAGGGCCCAGCTAGGCAGCAGCATCGGGGTAGGGGGAACGTTCTACAGAAGGAAGGTGGCGATTGGCTTGGAGAGTTGGTTAGTGGGGGTCCATTATGGGAGCTTCTCTCCAAGCAGATTAATATTAATAACCAAAGGCCCAAGGGCTACCTCTGTTGACCAGGTATATGACTTCATGGATGTAATATCGTCTCTCTGAATATCAATTTCATTTGTAAATTATGGAAGAAAAAAAAAAGGTATACTTGCCAAACCTACTTGCTAGGAAAATCAAATGACATAATGTATGTAAAGCTCTCTTGAAATAGTAAAGTAAAAAACAAAAATGTTTTTGTTACTATAGGTTTTTTTTTAATTCATTCACAGTATTTGATAGCTATGGGGAAATATTTATTTGGACTCTCTTCCACCTTTTCTTTTGTTTGTGATGACTGATATTCTTGATTTTTAGCTTAACTGGAGCCATATGTGATGTGGAGACGCTAGGTCACCTGTAAATTGTTGTCCTGATAATGAGTTGCCTTTTCCCCAAATATAAATAATAGCCTTTCCAGATTTCAGTTTAAGAAATAAATTTGGTTTCATCTTGCAATGTTAAGGCCTCCAAACAAAAGCAAGACTTGTTTCTTATGCTATATATATATTTCAGTGTTTGAAACTTAAGACTTTGATGGTATTGTCCAGGCATACAACCATTCTGGCTAAAAGTGTCCAAATCCGAGAATTTTTATATGTATTATTTCATTAAACGAAGGTAAGCGAAGTAGTTTTTATTATCTTATGTTTGCATAGCAGGAAGTTAAGGCTCTGAGGGGTTAAAAATCTTGCTCACACCCACAGAGCTTGTAGTAAGTGCTTGGACTGAGCCTTGAATCCGGGGCTTCTGGTCCAAATCCCATGATGTCTTGTATGCAAACTCTCTCATACAGAAATTGGATAAATATACCTGAATGATTCACAGAGCTGGAGCAAACAGAAATAATTACAGAGTGTCTGAAAAGTCAAGAAACATAAGGATGAATTCATTTTTAGAAGCACATTAATTACACTTTCAAATAATATGCTCTTAGGATGTTTTTTCAACTCCCAGAAAACGTTTCAGGTGAAATACCTCTAATCTTAAAGCAATAGGTCCTATCTATTTTTTAAAAATATTTTATTTATTTGACAGAGAGAAATCACAACTAGGCAGAGAGGCAGGCAGAGAGAGGGGAGGAAGCAGACTCCCTGCGGAACAGAGAGCCCAATGTGGGGCTCGATCCCAGGACCCTGGGATCATGACCTGAGCCAAAGGCAGAGGCCCTAACCCACTGAGCCACCCAGGTGCCCCAGGTCCTATCTATTTTTCATTCTGAAAAAGTACAATGAATACACTGTTTATGTTTCTGGACCTTTTGGACACTCTGTTGTGTCCAGGTCACTTAGAAAAATTGGTAAGAAAATCTCAACTTATTATTATGAGTGGCTGATTGTTGTATCAGCAACATGTGATATAAACAAAATACTTGAAACATTATTAAGTGAGAAGGGTTTAATTCTTTTATCACTGAAAATAGTAGAATTCTGTTACAGCAGAACTCATTACTATGAATATTTGCATGGGCCAAAAATAAAAGCATATCTCTGGAAACCTACTTAACCTACAATAAGAATTTGAATAATAGGTCATTAAAAGTAGTCGTGATAATGAAAGATTAAACAATCTTTAAAGAGAAAGGGATCGTAGTTGGCTCAGGGTGGCTAAATCAGCATGTTTACCATCAAAAAGTCCCTAATGATGTCAGACAAGATATATTTTAAGGCAGAATAAATCTAGCACCAGACAAGAAGACATAGCATCTATGGATTAGATATTTCCTTCCTCCGAAGGAAAAATAGGTGGAAATCAATTGATGGAATAAGCTGCAAGTTTAAATACTGGCACCACTGGATTCTTAAAGATGATGGGATGCTTTCAAAATTTGGAGATTTTGAACCCAAAGCCCTATATTTATGTAAAAGAATATGCAAAAAAAGGCAAAATAAAGGCTTTTAGAGAATTTTTAAAACATTTAAAAACTCACAGTTTTCTTCCATAGGCAATATTGATGGCACACTCCAGAAAAATTAAAGTCCCAAAGAAAAGAAAGAATTGGGACAAAAAGAATGCAAGTATATAAAGAAACCAGTAAAAATTGTGGTTGTGTCTAAATAATATTGTTATGTAATGAGAGTGAAATATTTTATGGGGAATTTCCAGAAGAATAGAAATTTAATGCATTTTTTAACCCAGCAAAAGGCAGGAAGAAGGATAAAAGCAAGATGAACTCATGTAGTAAATTAAAAACATTAAATAGTAATGAAGTAGAAAGAATTATCAGTAATCACAAAAAATGTGTTATATTTTTTAGTTATAATGCTTTAATCGAAACCTCTGGTTTCAATTATATTAAATCAAGAAGGATTGCAAAGGGGCACCTGGGTGACTCAGTGGGTTAAGCTTCTGACTCTTGATTTTGGCTCAGGTTGTGATCTCAGGGTGGTGAGACTGAGCCCCAAGCTGGGCTCCCCACTCAGCAGCATAGAGTCGGCTTGAGATTCTCTCTCTCACTCTCCCTCTGGCCCTCCTTCCTGTATTCTCTCTAGCCCCTTAAAATAAATTAATAATAATAATAAATAAAAATGATACAATAAATAATAAATCTTTTAGAAATGGTTGCAAAACTTTAGCTTCTATTTATGAGATATTCTAAGTCAAATGATAAAGAGAGATTTAAGAAGTTATTTCGAGCAACTGCTAATTGAAAAGTAGGGTGTAATAATGTTATCAGGAAAAATGGATTCAAGAAGAATCATATTAAACAGAACAAAGAAGAATAGTTCATATGGATTCAAATTATATCAAACCATGAATGAGTCATTAACTTTTATATCCCTAATAACTTGGCAAAATGCATATAAAGCAAAAGGGGAGAAAAATATGGAGCAATTGATAAATTTGCAGTCTTAATGGAATATAGAAATCCATCTACTTCAGAAATGGACAGATCAACAAAAATTAAGTAAAATATAACTGATTTCAGTAGTATAGTTAACACATTTGACCCAATAGGCATGTGTAAAACTTTGTATCTAATGTAAAAACATACTAGTTGTTTCCAACACCTATGGCATGTTTACAAAAATCTATCACGTGTATTTCATAAAAAGAATCTCAAAAAAATTAAAATATAGAAATCATATAGGATATATTATTTGACCAAAAATCAAAATTCAATAAATTAGTTATTAACAAAAATTTGGCTAGGTAACCTAGCCAAAACAAACTATTTACTTCGAATTTTTTTGGTGTTATTATGTTATGTTAGTCATCTACTGTACTTCATTAGTTTTTGATGTAGTGTTCCATGATTTATTATTTGCATATAACACCTGGTGGTCCAGGCAATACGTG